GACAAGTGCCACCTTCCTCGGGCCGCGGACATTCGATATGGCCCAGCCCCACCCTGTGGTTTCGAAGACAAGAGACCTTTGTACGGAACACTTGGAGCCCTGAATTATTAGATAACACTTCTTTAAGACAACACAATAGAGGCTAAAGACGGAAGGGAATGATTAAATGGGCTCTGTTTCCCTTCATCGTTTATTTAATTCTTTACAAAAGTGTTCCGATCGTCTGAGGTATCCGCATACTTTTCTATAGCTAAAAGCTGAGAATTCCCCATGTCCAGCAGTAGAATATTATCTTGAACTGCAAAATACATTGAAATATTCGAAGAAGAAAATATAAGATTATTAATTAAAATATATGATGTGCACAATGCACAAAATTAGGAACTCCTTTTATTAGTTAACAGTAAAGCTAGAAATCAGGGGCGGATGGGACCACGGGAAATTTGGGTTTTCCAGGTATCTGTGATTGCAGAGCCGTTCTGTTACTTGATATTGAAGATTCAAAGATGAAATAATAATAATTGTATAATTAATTTAGCACAAAACATTAAACACTCAAAAAAGGGATTTTTTTTACACTTTAAAAAAAGGGGGAGAGAAAAAATGAATACTTCATTCAAAAGTTGTACAGAAACCATTAGGTTTTTCGCAGCAAGAAAAGGAAAAATCAATCTTCTCCTCCGAGATTCGAATAATAGATCTTCTAGTTTCTACACACATAAGAGCACACACAGCGGATAATTTCTTACATGTAAAATCTGATAAAGTCTTAAACTTACCGTCTTAATAATATTGTCATTACCTCATGGATCGATCTAATTCTTTACTCCGCTTCGTAAGAGTAGCGAATCTCTGAAAAAAGTGATTCCATGAAGGTGTCGGCACCTTTAAGCAAATCGGTCACTGTTTACCAAGACAGAAATCGTTTCGTTTTTCAAGTGAAAATTGAATTAAGTATGCCGGCACCTTAAAGTATGGGCAGGAGAAGGTTTCTGCTTCAGAGAATCGCGCTTAACTTGCTTAAAGATGCCACTTTTATAACGGTGCATCTATATAAAATAATCTCTTATCACCGGCTTTTGAACAGATTGAAATGTAGTACGTGGCAGGCGTCAATTAGAAATGTTTCTCAAGCTAAGTGCGGTTTTATCAGCGGCATACTTGTGTTCACCAAGGCTTTTTTCGCCAGTTGAAATCTATGCAGTTCCTTAATTCTGCTACTCGATACCTTCCTGAATTCTAAAAATTTTGGCGCGCCTAAAATCTACCGCCCCGTGCCACTGCACAAGGCTCTGGTACTGTCTCTGCATTTTCGTTAAGGAAGTTAAAAATGAAAATTTTGAGAAGCAGGTGATATATATTGCACTTAAAGTGGCATTAATTTGTCGTAATTGCAGTTTAGCCGTAAAATAAGAATAAACAGTTTACACAGCTTTATTTGATCATTAAAGTAGAATTTAGCTAAAGAAAAGTGTCTGAAAACACGAAATCTATGTTTGTGGGCTTTTACTCAGGCAAATTCATATAATCTCTATCACATTACTTGAACTCACAGATTAATCACTTACAATGGTGAATTAAAAAAATATAAGACAAATTTTATTTGGAAAATACACTCTTAGGAAAAAAAAAAAAAAAAAAAAAAAAAAAAAAAAAACACGACGTACCAAGAAGGATTTATCCGAATGGGACGAAAATCGGTAGAAGTGATGTACATGTACAGAAAAACAAATGATTACAGTTTGAGAAAAACTGGAGGATTTATTAAAGTGATAGAGCTTCACAAAGTGAAAAAGGTCATGAACGCGTTTGTCCACCTCTGGCCCTTATGCAAGCAGTTATTCGGTTTGGCATCGATTGATAGAGATTGCAGATGTCCTCCTTAGGGATATCGTGCTAAATTCCGTCCAACTGGCGCATTAGATCGTCAACATCCCGAGCTGGGTGGAGGCTCTGCCCATAATGCTCCAAACGTGCACAATAGGAGAGAGATCCGGTGACCTTGCTGGCCAAGGCAATGTTCGGCAAGCACTAATGCAAGCAGTAGAAACGTGTGCAGTGTGGGGGCGGGCATTATCTTGCTGAAATGTAAGCCCAGGGGGGCGTGACATGAAGGGCAACACAACGGACCTTAGAACTTCGTCAACGTACCGCTGTACTGTAGGGTTGCGACGAATGACAACCAAAGAGGTCCTACTATGAAATGAAATGGCACCCCAGACCATCACTCCTGGTTGTCGACCTGTCTGGCGGAAGACAGTCAGGTTGGTATCACAGAGCTGTCCGGCGCGTCTCCAGACTCGTCTTCGCTGGTCATCGGGGCTCAGTTCAAAGCAGGACTCATCACTGAAAACTATTCCACTCCAGTCAGTGACATTCCAGTGCGAATGAGTCCGACACCACTGCAAACGGGCTTGACGTTGTACAGAGGTCAATGGTAGTCGACGTAAGGGGCGCCGTGACCTCAGCCCCCTTTCTGTGAGTCGTCTATGAATGGTCCGTGCGGTCACTGAAGCACTAGTTGCACGTACAGTCGATGATAATGATGCATCTGGGGCTGTGAGTGCCGCTCTTACGATTGCTCGGTCTTCACGTTCTGTCGTTTCTCTAGGCCTACCGCTTCCTTCTTGTCGCTGTGTGCGGGCATGGTTCACCCATTCCTGCCAACATCGTCTAATAGTGGCATCGCTCCTGCTCAAATGTCAAGCTATTCGCCGATAAGACCAACGGGCTTCTTTGAGTCCAACTACACGACCTCTCTCAAATTCTGACATCTGCGCATATCGTTCGCGCACCTGTATGCGAGGCATAGTTACTGTTTACCAGATTACACGGAATGAAATTCGTGAAGAATTTATGACCTGGAATCGTAATTTCTCTTCTTAAATATACTACCAGTTGCGCAGATCAGATGCGCTGTAGCGACAACCGTTCATTCACTAGCAGCCAAAATGTAAAATTTTGCTTTTTCCGTCGAAAGCTGTATGCATATCAATTTGTGTCCAATTTGCTTTATATCTTCTCGGTGCGTCGTTTCTTTTTTTTTTTTTTTTTTTTGTCTAAGAGTGTATTTTTCCACAAATTTTGTTGCTATTTATATGTTATATTTTTAATCATCGGATTTAAATAATATCACTTTTATTTTTAATATTGATTACTGTAAGAAATACAAAATACTCGCAAGAAACCTATAAGAAATGCATGCTGTCTTGTTTACAGGCACTTGTGTTGAAGAACTGTGAAAAATAATTTATTAAACCAAACGGAAAAAGATGAATTTAAACACATTTGAAATACTTAAGTATTTTTGTTTTATTATAATCGTACTTTATGTTATGATGCACAATATACTTCTTAAAAACATTCAGAATATAATAAGCAGTTTATATACAGTCTATATAAATAACTTTTTTTAAATCTGAAAAAACTAGGTTGTAGTTTACGGCATTGGAACTACACGTGCATAATTTCAGCATCTAGTGCTGTCATTTAAATAAAATAATTTTTACAATTGGTATTTGGTATACTTTCAACTAGTTCTCAATTTAAGTTTTCCCTTTTTTTTTTTTTTTTTTTTTCTTATTCATTTTATGAAATAATTAGAATAATTAGATAATTTTTGTAATCGTATTTTCTCTATTTCATATGTTAAGGAAATGCATTTTATATTTGAATATTGTTGCAAAGTGAAGTCATATTAATGTTGTTTTGTAAATATAATACTTCATTTTTTCATTTTAATTAACTTTGTACTAGTTTTCCGCGCTATTCAGCGCACCCTCATCCCTACTGCAAATATTTTCGTTCGGTTATATTATCAGACAATCGTATTTTAATGTACATTTGTTAAATATTATATATATATAATTATTCGTAATGCTTTATCTGAGCTCACGTATTTTAAAAATAATCATTTACCATTACACTAAAGAGATGGTATAATAAACTCTTAAATTAGTTTCCATAATCAACTATAGATGGCGACACCACAACCTAAAATAATGTCTTAGTTGGAAGCGCGGGTAATGCGAGGCGGAGGGCTTTCGTAAACATGTCTTTTCTAAAAGTTCGACAATATAAAATCAGACATGGACAAACTGCGGCAGTCGAGCCGTATGAGGCTTTTTGACCCCTTAAATGACGCTTTCTTACAACAAACGGTATTTTTTTTTTTTGAAATACTGTAGCATTTTAAAACAGAAATCGTGCATTAACACTCTTCTTTATGAATCAGTAATTTAATTTCTTAAATTACGTTACGTATGCAATAATTTAATAAATTTCAAATTGTCCGTCGTGTACTAATCTTCAGAATAGAATGCAAAGTAGTAAATAATTCGGTTTTTGCGAATTAAATGAAAATGACCATGTTAGTTTTAGAACAGATAGGCTATCAGGACAGCAAACAAGACAAACGTGAAGGTCATTTAAATATATTACACTATTTCGTTTTTTGTCTCTCAGGTTTCATTTTATTTCAGGCAGCTCCTTGTAGTTCTTCTAGTTCTTTTGCTTCTTAATAACCGCGATTTTTGGCTTTGCAACGTTAGCTATTTTTTGCCTTTATTCACTCTTCCTATGGCTTGGGCAAGCGCGAAGAAACCTCATTCAGAGACGAAAAGAGCAGTCTACAAAGGGGCTGCTCTTTCAGATTGGAGGTGTATTTTGAGGACTCAAATACATATGATGCATGAAAGTAAAACTCATTCGTAGTTTGTTACACCCTTTTCGTGTTCCTTTTCGTGTTTGTTGTTGTCTTGTCCATATTACATGGAACAATGGTCGTCAGAGCCTATTCCGAAAAGAGGTTGGAGTTCTATTTTCCACATCTCTTTTCATGTCTAACCCTAAAAAGTCAGATGGTTTTCTGTATTTGCTGCAAAATGTTCGTAATCATTCACAATAATATGCTGCAGTTCCATTTTTTCCACTTGGAACTCTTATCTTTTGTTATGAAACACAATTGCTAGTCAATAATTTCGAAAAATGAATTAACTTACCTCTGCTGGACAGCTCCGTGATACTGTGACCAATATGATGTTGCTGTTCCTCCCTCAAGTGCTGTTGCGACGAAAACCTCGTACCTCCCACACCATGCTGGGGTGTTGTTGGTGGCGTAGGGGGCGTACCAGACGTTCTCCCGGCCCCGTATAAAGCCCCAGTGTAGTGCTTGGAGGTGTCGTGCAAGCCGTCCGGTTGGCAAGGTTCCGGTGCCGTTGCGGTCAAGTGCTCGGACGACGTCGTTTTATTGATGTCGGAATTCTGTGTCATGAATGCCGAGGAACTCTTCGGAGGTTTCCTGCGCCTAGGTTGGTATTTGTAGTCGGGATAGTCTTTCTTGTGCTTGCATCGAAGTCGTTCGGCTTCTTCAATGAAAGGTTTCTTTTCGTCGTCACCCAAGACCCTTAAAAGAAAATATATATATATATATATATATATATACCAAATCATTAAGTGGAGCAATAATAATGATTAGCTAAGATACACGTAAAGTTATACAATGACTGCATGTAACTGCTCGTTATATGTACAGCCAAACTTCTTAGGACCCAATAGTGGTCGTGTTTCCAGAAATTCCCATATACAAGTGATCTCCGCTATAGGCGTTTTCGCTTTTATTACAGGTATCATTTCAATACCTTTTTGGGTTAGCAGAGAACTCCGATAATGTTTTCCGCTTTTAGGTAGGAAAGCGAAATCACTTAGTAATTTGTTTTACGCAACGAGCAAAGCCGGAGCTAAATTACTATCCGGTTCAATCTCTGGGGGTCCTAAATTCTGTTACTTGGCACCTCCTTAATTTCTAAAAATTTTGCCACCGCTCCCTTAAATTCTCAGTCTCTCTCCCTTAAATTCTAAAAAGTTTTCCGATCCCTGAATTTTTCTGCTCGATGCTCCTCTAAATTCTACAAATTTTGCTATTCCTTAATTTTTCTGCTCGGTACTTCTCTAAATTAAAAAAATATATATATCAGCCTTTAAATTCTTCCGAATGATGCGGCTGCACTGGAAGAATTTAGGGGCTGAAAACTCTTAGAGCGATGAATTCATTGGGTGAAATAGCTTGGACGATGCAGCTGCACCGCTTGCACTGGCTCTGCCGTCGACCCTGTTTGATAATTTCCTAATAGTATGTCATTTATCGTAAAAGAGGAATCAAGCTTAAGACAGTTTTACAAGAAGTTTTTCTCGCCTACGTTGAATTGTTGATAAGAATTACACCTTAGCTTAACAATCAAGCACACTGTTGCATTTTAAAACTTTTACCTCGTTTGAATAAGACGAAAACCTCGATTTTCGATATAAATTAGAAATAGCTAACAACTAAAATTGTTAATGTAGCAATCTGACTGAAAGAAACGACGAACCTCTACCGTTTCAGCTTAAAGTTTCATCACCAACGACACCAGTTCTGAGATTTCGAGTATACTCGCCTTCTAACAAGTCTGACAGAAGAAACTACGATATCAGTTATAAAAATATGAGGAGTGGCCAAAGAATGGCTCTCACAGGCGACTGGTGCGGCTCTCATGCAAATAAAATATATGTACGAAATATAGTAAACAAAAACTACTCAATGTCCAAAAGAAAGTAATTCATTTATTTCATTTCCTTTTACAATTTTACAATGTTATCAGACATTTCTTTTCATTTGAAATCTGTTTCACTGTTTTTAAAGTGAAGTAAATATGAACTTGTGGATTTTGGAAAATCTAATTGTGACACACGAACTTTCCTGAATTTCAACATGCGGCTGTTACTGAGGTGAAGTTTGGTTACCCTTGATACATATGTTACTTGTATTTTCACGGGATGTGTATTTATCCCATTAATATTTCTTTTCTGTTATTTTAGATGTCATGTGTTACTTGAAAGGAATTAACATGATATTTTTACGAGATCTGTGACCGATGTGATAGTTTATTCTTTACAAAATATTAAACATGATGTTCCAAAAAAGGAACATTGGCATGTAAAAGGTTAATTTAAATACTTAGCACATCCTTTTTGTAAAATTTATATGTTTCTTAATTAAAGATCTTAAAAATAAAAATGGGAGCAAAGAAAAAAAAATGTTATCATAGTGTACTCAAACATTAAAAAATGTTTTTTTTATTATATTAAAATAATAAAACATAAAAACTTATTTTTCAAATAAAAATGTTGAAATTAGCAGCTAATTTTTTATGTATTTCAGGAAATTTATCATATGAATATTGTGAATGTTTATAGCTTTTGCTATATAAATCAATGATAATTGCTTCTATTAGCTTTGTAAAACATTTTGAAAGGACGTTCTACTTACGTAGAAAGGGGGGTGGCACTTCTATTTGCTGACAGCTTAGGATACGAGTTAATTACAGCCTTTATTAGCGAACCTACATTAGATATTACCAAATGCAAACATGTGTTTTTACTTGCAATCTACTAGCTGAACTTAAAAAACTCCTAGACAGAAAGGTAAGAAAATCTCGCACAGAAGGAAACGAGCTCTAAATACTTCAATGTAAAGTTTTTCAAGTGGTATAAATGGCATAATCATTTGTCTAGCAAACATAGCATAAATATTATGCTTGCTAAGTAGCAAAAGCTCACTAACAGTACAAACCACTCATAATACTGCAATTGCTCACCGAACACCATCCTAATGAATCCCGCAGTAAAAAATAGACTAAAAGCTAAGTGTCCATTTCAATATTTTACATGACACTGCTTTAAATGTAGTAACCTGTGTGTGCCAGGATAGTATAATATTATATGTACTGTGTTTTAAAATCTCCAGCATCTAACAAGGCCACTCAGTGCCGTACAGCCGTTAGACTTTGCTTTTATACTCACAAACGCAACGGTTGTCTCAGGAAAAAATCTTGATCCGATTTTCTTACTTATAACTTTTTGATAGTTGTTAAAATTTTGAGCTTAAACAAAGTTAGAGTTTTATTAAAGAACATAAGCGGATTACGCTTCAAAAGTATATAATGCAGTTCGATTCTGCATGATAGATATTTTTGCCAATTTAAATGAAATTAATGCAAAATAAAATTAAGATGCATATTATTAGACTTAATGAAAAGAAATAGCGATTAATAAGAAAGAAATAGCGAAGAAATAGCGAAATTAGATATTTAAGCATCGTGTCAAAAAGACTGAAGCACAATGTTTTGAAAATCTGAATAATTTTTTAATGAATTCTGAGATGGAAAAAATATAATAGAATATTTTCTCGAAAAGTTCTAACGTGTGATATTATCAAGAAGCTATTTGAAAAATAAATTTCAATAAAATAAATCATATGAGTTTCCAATAAAGGAAAGAGAGAAACTAATACATATTTCAGTAAGCTGGGCATTAAAAATTAATTATCATTAAAAACTCAAATTTTAGTTGCAAATTCACAGGAATGTCCTGAATTATCTAATATATAATCTAATAATCTATAATATATAAAGATCCTAACTAGGTTTTAACACCACAGCTTATTTGAAAAAAAAAAAAAAAAAAAAAAAAAAACCTTAAACTTTCAGATTTTATATCAAACGGTCCCCCCCCCCCCATTTATAGACACATACACGTTTCGAGAGCATTTGAGCTAACTCCACATTGTACTAAAAATATTTAAAAAACATAGTAATATATATATATTTATAAATTCCGATAGACAAGACTCGCGCTTCGGGGATAAAAATGTTTTATTACCTACAGTGTTGCCATTGCTCTCTTTGAAGTTCTTTAATTTTTAATCCAAAATTCATTAAAGTTTTAAAAAATATGAAATAGACAATAAAACAAATTCGAAATTGAGACTTTCTAAGTGTTCATGTTCATGTGGAGGAATATGTAGTTAAAAATTCGATAACTCTAGGTACCGTTGTTTTTTCACATTTCCAGAAAAATACATGCATTCAGGTAGATTCTTCATTATTTAGTTTCTTTAAATATAATACAGGGCGATAATATTTGGTGGCAACAATTTGAAAGTGATTTCACTTAAAATGCCGTTTTGACACTAATAGTCCTTCTGGGCTAACGTTCGATTGGGCTAAAAAACAAGTTTTCAACCTATTTAACAATGAAAACAGGGTAGAGATATAAACTGAATACAAAATGTGAAACGCACACGCACTTACAGATAAGATCAGCTGAATCAGACTTGATATTTGTGGGGAAAAAAGCTATAGCAATAAAGGATTTTTTAGTCGACAAAAAGACTGAAGCTCACTGCTTCAGATCATAATTTCCGACCCCGAACGCTACGCTTACGGATGGGCACTAAGTTTGGCCCGGCACTAATGAGATCTAGTGGGAGTTACTGGCATTGAAAGCCAAGTGAGCCACAACGCTTGAGTGAGCATGTGTGAAGAATTGATTACCTTGATGTGATACGATTCTTTTAGGGATGCATGATTGCAGTGTTTGTGTCATCAAGCGACCGTTTAAAAGTTTGTTTCAAAGATATTTAGCCAATGATAATTTTTAACTTTTCATGATGTTAGTCTCATTCACAAAAGCGACAAATTGCCTGACTCCAAACTCGATATTTATTTCGAATTTGCATGAAATCTGAAAAATTTTGTTTTCAGTTGCCCTGAAACATATGGTGTCTAAAATTCTCAGAAGGATCATAAAAGATATAATAATCATCTAACTCTAAATCAAAATGGAACTGAGAGCACAAATTGTTTACAGATTACAGTTTGACGATTACGAAGCAGCGCTAAAATTACTTGCTTGTGGTCAGATTATGATATTCACACAGCACTCGTTTACAAGATTTTAGAACTGAATTAAAAAATAATTAAGATAATTTGTTTACAGTTTAGTTTTCTACATATATTTTTTTTTCATAAAACTTCCAGAATCTTTCTAAAATTCAACTCTTGGAGCCCTCTTTAGTTTTGTGATTACAGCTTTTTTAATTTCAAGAAATGCTCTTAAAATGGTGTCTTTTAATGATAGATTTTGCTTCAGAGAATAGTAAGTAGCCTATAAATGCGCAGTAACATTTTATTTTCAATAAGTTGCTTGTTGACGGATGCAAAGAAATCTTGAACAGTTGAAAGAATTCGGACCTAAAACTTCATAGATACACTGTGGCAGTTATTTTCTTTGTAGTTATGATTTAAAGTTTGGGCTTCTTGCTCAAGTTTCTTCTTTAGTGTTTCTTCCTTGCCTTGCGTCACAATATCAGAACCTTTATGGAAATCTCAGTTATGAAAGAATTAGTTTAAATACCGTATTCCCTTAACTGCAACTCATGCTAAAACTTTTCGTAGATTAAACGTAGATTTCGTAGACTGTGGCAGTTATTTTCTTAGTAGTTATGATTTAAAATTTGAATTTCCTGCTCAAGTTTCTTCTTTACTGTTTTTTTTCCTTGCGTCACAATATCAGAAGCTTTATGGA